AATATAAATTTCACTTACCTCCCAATGTTGTCCTACAAAACAATATATATTAAATGATAACTATGAAACTATGAAAACAAATAAAGTGAATGTAACCATGTAACCAGCCTTTATATTATGTGCAAAAGGTAAAATCATATTTCGTTCTAACATTGCAATCTAAAAACAAAAATAAGGCTTTTAAAGCTATAGTTAAATTCACTAAACTTAAAAATGAAAATAAATGAGAACAAAAGTTGTGTTAGGCTATTTTGATTACCCCATTACAGTCACTTTACAGTCAGTGCTATCATAAAAATACACTTACTTGTAGGTTTAAAATTCTACATTTAGTCACATTTATTGTCCAACTACAAATATTTCAGCAATGTATATTTTAGTCAGAATTATTGCGCTCTGTCTGTTTGGCACGCATGCGCGGCGGCGCTCGCTCACTGAAGTCTGTAAAGTTTAGCGGAGAATCGCAAAGCAGAAGGCTCATGCCACTCCTGACAGCAAAATGGAAATATTTCCATGACTTTCTAACAGTTACAGATGGAGAATATACCTGTGAAATGCAAGTTATGTATTTAGGAAAACAGCACATCTCAAACACATTAAACCGCGCGAGTAGCCTAGTGTCTCTGTCAATGGCACACGCAGACTTTCTGTCCGAGCATCTGATGGGCCGAGCCGCTTAAACTATGCGAAACTATACTATGTCTTACCAGTTTTTAAAGGCCTTAATATGACGCTTGTCCCATGCTTAGAACAAATTGGATTATGCACTTTCTCCTCAGCAGCTCAGTCTGTGTCCTCTGCTATATTTTCAGATGCGCTCGTATCAAACTACTGTATATCGATATAAACGGTATTGCCTCCTATCGAATCGCTTATAAAGAAAATATCGATATATCGTACAAACTTACGAAAATAATAAGACACTTGTTCTTTGCTTTGTTTAATTTAAATGAGGTGTACATGAAAGTATATTAAAGTGCAAAAAAACACACAAAACTCAAATACATTCAGAGGGAGAGGTTCTAGCAGACCAATCACAGCGCTTGCGGTCTGCATAGAATTGACACGTTGTAACATTTCTGGAGAGGTGCACGTCAGGCTACGCCATAGGCTACGCGTGCTATGCACAACCTACGATGTAGCTACGGCGTAGTTTCGACGCAGAAGTATAAATCAGCCTTTAATAGAGAAACGCAGCAAATTCTTAAATACACCGTCTCTCTCTCTCTCTCTCATAAATGAACACTTTTCTGAGAATAGTATATCGAATTGGAGATTGCTAAACTGCAAGCTTACCGGTGTTTTCAGAAAGCCAGCGCTTTTATCCACAGCAGAGAGCGCGTGCACATGGTTACCAGGTTGACAAAAATAAGTATGCTAACACGCTGTGTCAGTGATTACGTCTCTTTATATCAGGCAACCCGGTTGGGTTCCTCTGCGGCCAGATTAAACCTAGTTGTAGCCTATATATTATACTCTCTTCATAATTTTTTTTAGAAACCTTGCACTTTTCAATTTTGTTTTTAAACTTAAATTCTTGTATTCAAATAAAGCGCGGTCCAACATGCTGCGCACGTGCTGCAATATCAATACTGAAACAGCTGTATCGATACCCGTATCAAACACCTGTGACGATACATCGTCGTATCAATGTATCGAACACAGCCCTAATAATTACTGCGTTCTCTGTGGTGGGGTGAATCTCTCGAAAGCTATCAAGAACATGTCCGGGTTACATTTCACCTCAAAATATAAAATGGTGAACTGCATATTGCATAAAGACAATTAAGCAAATGGAAAAATGTTTGCATTAAAATGAATTCAATAACTTTTAATGCAGACAGTCCCTTTTTGGGGTCAAATGTGATCTTGGCAAATTTTGTGACTTGCACATTACTTGGGTAACATTAAATTATTTGCTTTCTAACTCTTCATTGAGTAGAGTGTCAAGTGATGCACTAGAGTCTTTGAACTGTCATTCATTGAGCTCCCCGATCAGCCTCCTTTGCATCACTGGATCAAATAAGCTGCCTTTTTCCACTCCGTCACTGCTGTGCATTCCTATGTGCTTTAAGAGAGAGACTGCCCAAGAACATTTGTTGTAAGATTACTGCTGCTATTAACAATGTTCCTGTAAAAATGACGTTGACTTTTTGGTCAGAAAACTGAAATTTCAAGATTGAAAAAATGAAAAGATTGGTGTATTTGTGTCACAGGTAATGATTTTTTTTCTTCCACTTAGTTGCTGCCAGACATGGGCTCCAAAGTTTGGGCAAAGTTGCGGTCAGTCGGCGCATGCCCCCTCCGGCTAACCTGCCCAGCTTAAAAGCTGAGAACAAAGGCAACGATCCCAACGTTAGCATCGTACCCAAGGATGGCAGCGGATGGGCCTCCAGACAGGATCAACCAGGAGACGAACGGTAACACTCCACCCTGTTAAATGATAGATGTATTTCCTGTTGCAAGATCAGTTTTGGATGTTCCAAACATACTCTTTCACATTGTCTTGCTTGTTTTGTACTCATTAGATTCCTCTGTTCCACTGCCACTTCTCCTTTTTTTTTTTATGATTGTAGGCAGCAGGAGACCCCTCCACCACAACCCAAGCCAACTGTACCCCAGACCTCTGATGCCCCTCTGGGAGGCAGCCGCTCCTGGGCCAACAGCAAACAGTCTGGGCAGCTGGATGGTAAGCCATTTCCTTTGTAAACCTTTTCATTGTTGTTCGCTCTCAAAATGCTACTCAGTGAACTGTAAATCCTTATCTAAACAAATTTAAGCCACAGAATAATCTTAATTAGCATGAGTTTTGAACTGCTAAAGCCATGTGCTTAAATGTTTTTGTGTCTGCAGGAGCTCCTCGGATGAGCAGTCAGTTCCATCAGGAGTTTCCGAGTCTGCAGGCGGCAGGTGAGGCGGAGAAATCAGGCGATCAGGAAGATGAACCCTACGGGCCGGGCCCCAGCCTCAGGCCTCAGAGTAAGACCATCATCCTTCACATTTTCTTAAGAGCTTTGTGTAACATATTAGTTAAAACCGTTTAGAAAAAAGATATACAGCAGTTTCTTAATGATAATTCATAAATATAATCGTTATCACCCTCACTCTGGCCATTAATTTCCATTACCTACTCAGATGTGGGTAGCTGGCGGGAAGGTGGAGGCAGGAACTTAAACGTTGCTCCCAGCCCCTCAGAGACTGATGGTAAGCCCTCTGAGGAGTCAGGCGTGGGTCGAGGCACACCATCTCCCTCGGGGGACTCTGATGAGGCAGGGAAACCCTCTGCTGGGGAGGGCAAAGAAAGGAGAGATGCCAGAGACAGGCTCCCACCTACTGCCACTCAGCATAAACTCAATGGTGGCCAGCAAACAGCGAAAGGAATGTCATCTCAGTTCCAAGCTGCCCAGTTCAGGAGCATGATGCCGCCGTATGTAAGTGATGATTTAGCCATTGTGTATAATTTCATCTACCTATTGAAATGTGACATGCTGCTGTGTATTGTTTTGTTTGGTACTGATTTTGTGAAGTCTATTTGGCAGTGCTATTTTAACCCTTTGAGCGGTACGGTCCCACATGTGGGATTTTTATTTCTGTGCCCGTGGGTGTTCGGTCCCACATATGGGATTTAGAACGTTCGGTGACGTCACATAACTGCTAAATTCAAACTGCTTTCGCGCTTTGGCTGCTGCTGAGACACGCTCTACACTTGTCATATAACCACATAATGTTTATTTTAGGTTTCAGACATTTAAATGCACATAAGTACTAGTAAAACAATACATTTAGAGTTTGTAAAATACACACGGATGTCTATGGAAGCAGCAATAACAATCCATTCAAATATAATTTGCCAACGTATTTTATTCATATCAGATACACATAGTGTAAGTAACTATAAAGTTTACTCTATTCTTCTCCCAGTTCACCAGCCACTTACTTGCATGTATTTCGGGAGAAATTGATGAATTCACGTGTTGTAAATCCGACTGACAGGACACTCTGAACTGCAGCGCAAACAAACATGGTGGCGCCCATCTCACGTTATAGATCACGATCAAGCTCATTTATGACTGGTTTTAAGTGACACCACACACTCACTCATATTTGTGAATCGGAATATCAGATAGTTGATGACATGGTAAGCAACTGTATGGATATTTTGAATAAAAAAGGAAAAACAATATAAACGATCCATCTGTCATAGTGTTTTCGTTTCGTGTCATGTGACAAGCATGACGCGTCGCCATGGAAACATAAGTTCTAAAATAACGGTCGCCTAAAAAAAACTCACTCTGGAGGGACAGCTAGAATATTTTAAACTCACCAGTGAAAAGGTTAATGTGTGCTGTATCTTTTCAGATGTTCAATGCTTACCCTCGAGGGCCCTTTCCTCCTGTACAAAGCAGCTTTAGATACCCTGGACAACAGGAGATGTCTAAGTAAGTGATCCCATAAGGTCTGAACTTAAATGGCTTTAAGATCTAGAAGCTAAGGTTGAAAGACTATAAGAATTTTGTCCTTTTTTGTTGCCATAAATAATGTTGATGAGTCTGCAGTATTTAGAATAGACGTTGCTTTCTAAAGTTGAAGTTACATTTACAGTGGAAGTATCCCAAAATACCAAATTGCTTGTCTTGATCAATAACAACTCACTTTCAACTGCTTGCACTTTCACTTTTAACCCGTCAGACAATAAGTTATTGACCTTCTAAATTTGTCTGAAGGGTTAAAAGTGAAAGTGCAAGCAGTTGAAAGTGAGTTGTTATTGATCAAGACGAGCAATTTGGTATTTTATGATACTTCCAGGTAGGGCTGGACAATAATTCAATATCAATATGTATCGCGATATAATTTTTTTCAATAACGGTGATATGATTTTCTGTCATTCACTCCAGCTGCAGCGCCAATGGCTAGAATGCGCAACACTGCAAATCCAATGTTGAGGCTCCGCTATTATTGAATTTCATTAGTCCCACTTATTTATGCGTGCTTGTACGCGGGAAAGCAGGCAATGTTTCCTCTAATTTTTTTTTCTTGCTGAGCAAAACTTCTTTATTGGACGGACATTTCGGCCACTTGAGCAAAAACATTCTTTATACCAGACCTGTACCGTACACACACAAAATTGTATAACTTTAATGTTCTATTTATATTTGGTGTGACCCTTGATGTAACTAAATAATGCACATTTTAGTTTACCTGAGAAAACTTTTTTACAGTGCTGTGTTAGCAAGAAATTCTATAAAAAAAATATTAATAAAACTCAGAACGGTTCAATTCTTTGTAATATAATATTATATTATGTATTATAATATAATAGGAAAAAATGAAGCAGATATTGCTCATGAATTCCCTTTTTGAGGTCAATTATTTATTAGGCTTATAATATAATATTAATATAAAAACAAACTGAAGCATTTAAACTGATAGAACAGAAAACAAACTGAAGCATTTAAACTGATAGAATAGAACCGAAAACAAACTGACACATTTAAACTGAGATCTGTAAGCTAAATATAAAAAAAGAAAAAGTGAACATGTGAATTCTTATATAGTTATCTAAGTAGAGTTACTACTAGGGGTCGACCGATTATCGGCCTGGCCGATATTAAGCAATTTTATGATTATCGGTATCGTCATTTTCAAAACCGATTCGCCGATAAAATAACTTAATTTTGAAATGTGCTATTTGGCTCTGATGCAGCCTGTCAGAACTCACCACTCTGTGGCCTAAAGCAGTCTCCGCCCACCGCTCATCTGGTTTGTTGGGAGTCACGAGTATGACCAATCAATGCGGAATTCACTCTCACTCCAAAAGCGCTTGCTAACTGGAGCTGCTTCAGTGATCATGCATCAGTTGTCTCTCAAAGGTAAGGCAGCAGCAGACGTTGCTTAAGTTGCAATAGATCCCAATCCACTAACGTTACACTGAAGTTGCAAAACACCTCAATGTTATCTGTGATTTTGCGGACGGAATCCAGTCATATAAATGGAATTTACTGTATGACGCGGAATGTCACGGAATTTGTCAAAGTTTGGATGAATTAATCAAAAGTAGGTCAGTACACTTAAATAAAGTCTTAATATGGACTAGTATCTGTAAATATTAAGCCGCAAAAATACTATTTAAATATGAATCCAGCATGTTCTGCGTGTCTCTGTGTATGTAAATGACACAGACGAGCGGTTTTGTTTTCTACACAAAGTGTGCGACGCTCGCGGTGATTTCAGCTTCTGTCGTATCACTACACGAGGACATAAATACATGAACAACATCTCCAGAACTGCTCTGACTCCCTCTAAGAGTCACTTCATGAGCATTTGACAATTTCATTGGAGTAAAACTATCTTCATATCATTTACATAGACCTACAGAAACAAGTTCCTCATGGCAACCCGTCAAAATATAAATTCGGGTTAGCTTAATGAAATTATCA